TAAAAAAAAAAAAAAAAAAAAAAAAAGGTATTAAAAAAAGGTATCTTCTTTTTTGTTGAAAAGACTGGAGGTATCACCACCCATACACCCTCAGTTTAAGGGCAGTGGATGACCCGTGGCAAAATGTTACTTTGGGGTGGAGGGGAGGAGGGGAGGGGGAGCAGAAAAAAAGCCTCCTTAGCTTGGGAAGGGGCAAAAATAGCCTAGTCATAATGCAGCCCCCCCCCCCTTCCCCGCATGTGCAGGTGCATGACTTGCACAGCTAACCATCTGCAGTGTTCAGGTGCATGATCTGCGCAGGTGAAAATATTTGAAGTGGCCGCATTCATTCTGACCCAGCTATTTTTGCCTCCTGCCAAGCTTAGTGGGCTAGCTTCTGGCTTTGTCCAGAGAAAAAACTTCAAAAAGTGAAAAAACTATATGCTATAGGTAGGTTACCTAGGACGCCCAGCTGGGCACCTGGCCAGGTCACCCCAGGCAGCTCAAAATACCTGGATTTCTTTTTATTTTGGGATAGCAGGTAGGACATTTCTGTGGTCACCAAGATCAGCCTAAATCCGGGCTCTCTAATGTCGGTTGGGGGGGGGGGGGTGGCCATGGGAGTATGAATGGGTCTTAAAGCACCAATACACCACACATCGGCCCGCGGGTGTCAGCATGAAACCCGCACCACTTCGGAAGCCGCCGATTTTGTTTTTCAACGGCAGGCCTGGCCGCGCGGCGCCTCCGAGTTTTGCTTGTGGTGACAAAAACTTTCTGCAAGGCTGGGGCCGTGTACTAGCGGTTTAAAGGGTGTTTAAATCGGTGTGCTTTAGATGTGATTTTTCATTTTTTTTAATCTTCAATTTAGTAAGAACTTCTGAGGTGACCCTCAGCCTAATCAACAGGCCTAGCGCTCGGTTGGTACACCCTTGAGCTGTTGAAATACATGTGTTCGAATCCACCTGAAACTAGAGCTCAAATAATGCTGAATTACATGGGGCCGCTCAGTTTGACAATGCAATGATACCTCAAGGCCATTACTCTTTTTAAAAAAAGGGACAAAGGTGGCAGCCTTGAAAAGTTGAAAACTGACTGGTATACCTTTCTCGGCCGTTTGGCTAAGATCAGCGTAGTATCCGTTCTCATCAGTTTCATATCTGATCGGTGGTCCATCCGGGGGAAAAAAAAAAACTGACTGGTTGCAGGTAATTCTGAGTGCCAGTGAACTCAGGTCTGTTTATCTACAGCTCATGGGTGTACCATCCGGGCACCTGGGGCCTGGTCCCTCTAGCATGGAGGATTGGGTTAACATCCTGAATCCGGATGTGTGTTTGCGCAGAGATGCAGAAAAGCAGATCAATCACAACTTTCTGCATCTCTCCACAAACACATCCAGATTCCGGTATTAAGTCCAATCCTCTTTGCTAATGGGACCAGCCCCTGGTCCCCACAACTAGGAGTTGTTTGCATCGCAATTCTATACAATACATTTGCTTTCCAGATTTTTTTTAATCTTATTTTTTAATGGGACCAGCCCCTGGTCCCCAAGGCAATGACTTTGAGGTATTATCATTGATAGTGTTTGAATAAAATTTTTGGAAGGGATTAAAACTTTAAAAGTCTTTTGGAACTTCTCTGGTTGCTTTTTTTTTTTCTTCCTTCATTTTTACACAGGAGTACGGCTCCACCAGAGGTGTAAGGTTGGAGGACCTGTGAGGCTGTGACCCCTTTTTTTTTTTAATAATAAACAGGCTCCAGTCTATTGGTGGGGAGCTGCACCTGCTGGAAAACGGGTCCAGCGTCCCTCATGCAAAAATCGTTGATACATAAACCAAAATAGGAAGAGAGTACTGCCTCTTCAGCCCAATCGAGGCCGCCTAATACTCATACCAATGCTAGCAGCACTATCCCATATAGCATAATTTGTTATGAGCCTCCAAGAAATACTTTTCATGAGAGATACAACCATTAACAAAAACTTGAAAATCATGTATTACATCCTGGGAGCACTCCGAAATCTTGAGCATGACTCGGAGCAGAGAATCAAGTTCAATCAACCAAGCAAGGCATACCATTGAAGATTAACCATTGCCAGTTCCGAGGGTGGGAAGGGACCAGGGAAACATTCTGGGGATCTGAGGGTAACTCCTGGCTAAAGTGAAAACTAGTCTCTGAAGATGAGATGAAAGTCCCTTTTCACAGGTTCCTCCTGCTCTTCTTCTCCCGGCCATTTCACCTCTCCCAAGCTTTCTCCTTCAGCTCCCCCCAGGCAGTCTAAATTGAATTTCTGAGTACAACTCAGGATATATGAACACATGCTCAATGGTCTCTATGATCTTCTTACTAGGAAAGACAGATAAACATGATTTGCACTATGGAACTGTCAGACCCCGTTGTTCTAAGGTAGTATGCCCAACCCTGCGAGGGTTATGCAAGGTGGGAGGTGTGATCCTTGAGAGGGTAGGGGTGGTTTGTGGGTTTGTTCTCTTTTGGGCCAGGCTGATTTGGGTTGGATCAGCTAAGGCAGTTGGGAGAGAGGACAAAGGGTGGATGCTGGCTTCAGCAAGGTGATCTTCGGTTGTGAGGTGTTTCACTTGGAGGGGGTGGGACATGAGGGAAGGGTGATCTTCGGCTCTGCGGGGGCATACTCTAGGAGGTATTGTATGCTGCTGAGGGAAGCAGGAGGGATTTAGGGGGCCGCTCTGAACTGGGCCTGGAAGGTGAGGGGGCACCTTCTAGTGGAAGCAGTGAAAGGGCAGGAGGTCGTTTTGTGTGGGAGGGGAGTAAGCCGCTCGGTTCTTGTGAGCCTTTACCTTCAGCGGAGACGGGAATAGGCGCAGGAATTTCCATGGGGAGAGAAGAATTTCCCTTCCGTCCTCTCTTCTTGTGGGATTAATATGACTTATATGACTACTTGGTTTTCATAACTTTTTGATTTCTGAGTTGCTTGCCTACGTTTTATGAGCCAGATGTTTCGAGGATGTGTGGTGCTACACTTATTAGGGTGAGGGTGTTCACCTGATTTCTACCATTTCTCCTCTTGCGAACTATGGGGGGAGGAGGTTGTCTCGTCGTAAGAGGAGGAATGTGTTGAGGAAGGTGTGTGGTTGTGGCTGCTGTTCTCATCCCGCGAACTATGTGGTGGAGGAGGTCAGCTCGTCGAGGGATGAAGAAGACTACTTCTATTCTTCTTCTTCGAACTATGTGGTGGAGGAGGTCGACTTGTCGAAGAAAGACGAATAGTTGAAGTCTGCTTTTATTGGTTTCATCAAAAAAAAAAAAAAAAAAAAGGCTTATTGGTGGTCTTAAGAATGTTTTTGGACTCTGGGGATTCCTAGCAACTCTTCTTAGGTGGCTTCGGTGCTGTTATACTCAGTGACCTGCGGCTGTTCTATGCCAGAACGACGCTGCCCGGTGCTGGGGTGTTGCCCTGTGACCTGCTGATGCAAGAGTGTGAGGCCTGGAAGAGAGATTTGGTGATGCTTTGGGGTGGGCATCCCACGGGACAGCTAAGGGTTGCTGCTGGGACGACGCTGGTCGGAGCTGGGGTGCCTTGTAACCTAGCAAGATGTGGGGGTGTGAGACCTGGAAGAGCTCGGCAGTGAGTAGGACAGTGTTGGAGTGCTTTGGAAGGGTTTGTCAGTGATTTCAAGTTTTTTTTAGCATTTGTAGGACCTATGAGGGCTATTCCCATGTTTTTCGTACTACTCAGACGTTTTCTCAAGAGACCGAGGTGAGTTGGAGAAGAAGAAGGTGGGATATTACGCGTCCTACTAGTAAGTGAGCTAGCTGGTAGGACGGGAATAGGGTACAACAGAAGCGGAGATGGTGGCTCTGCTGCAGTAAGTCTTGCCGGAGTGGGGTACAGGGGACGGATTGAGTTTTTTAGGTGAGTGGGAGAAATAGATGGTGGGATATCAAGCGTCCTACTAGTGCGGGGGCTAGCTGGTAGGATGGAAATAGGGTACAGCAGCAACAGAGATGGTGACTCTGTTGCAGTAAGTCTTGCCGGAGTGAGGTAAATGAGGATTGATGGGGGGCTCCTGAGTTGTTTTCTGAATTTTATCCAATTCTGAAGTTTGTCATAGTAATTTCCTAAGTAGCTTCAATTTTTCTTAGCCGAAGCCGGGTAATCGCCCCAGTATCTCAAATTTTCTAAATTCGATGTAAATCTCCATATGGGACGCTGGGCCCAGTTCCCAGCACGTGCTGCTCCCCACGAATAGATTGGAGCCTTGTTCCCATTAAAAAAAAAAAAGAAAAAAAAAAAGGGGTATGGTCTACCAACCAGTTATTAGTGGGCAAGCATCTATGAATTATTTGTCATTGTAGGGAGGAGAACTTTGTTGGTCTCTGTTTTAACTTATTTTTAAAAATTATATTTTGGATTCTTTGCACATCGATATTTAAATGTTTGGCCCACTGATTCCTTATTATGGACGACACATCCACTCTCGGTCTCAGCAAACAATACGTTGCTTTAAACCACCAGTACCTCCCCGTTGTTTTTTCGAAGTCGCGGCCGTCGGGCGAACGAACGCCCGGTCGCTGATATTCCAAAAAAAAAAAGAAACGAAAAGAGAAAGAAAACAGAAAAAAAAAATAACAACAGAGATTCGAAACGAAACAAAAACAGAAGTAAAATGCAGTGGCGCCACTGCCCGACGAACGCGCCGTCTCTCTCTCTCTCTCTCTCTCTCTCTCTCTCTCTCTCTCTCTCTCTCTCTCTCTCTCTCTCTCTCTC